TCCGATCTGGCCAATCACAAACCAGTCTCACTGCCCCGGGCCTGGTGAGACCGCCCAGGTCCCAGGAGTTGTGGCTCTGGCCCCACATCGGACCTCGTTGCTGAATTTTCCCTGAGCTTCACATCTCCAACACAGCGGTTCTCAACCTGTGGGTCGCGACCCCTTTGGGGGTCGAACGCCCCTTTCACAGGGGTCGCCTAAGACCATCGGAAAACACATATATAATTACATGTTGTTTTTGTGGTTAATCACTATGCTTTAATTATGTTCAATTTGTAACAATGAAATTGGGGGTCACCACAACATGAGGAACTGTATTAAAGGGTCACGGCATCAGGAAGGTTGAGAACCACTGCTCCAACACGTTCTCGCAGAGTTCGCACTGTTGCTTTCCAAAGAACCTAACTAGCCCGAGAGACCGGAGAGGCTGGGAGAGAAATCCTGTGGCTGAGAACACAGGAGGGACGACGAGCTGTGGGAGATGGACTGTCACCCACACGGCCTGTGTCCTGGGTCAGCGGCTGGGGCTCCAGGGGGTGGCTGCCGCCAGCGTGCGCCTTGGCAGGTGTGGGCCAGCTGGGCCCCGGGAAGCCGAGGAAGGAGGAAGGAGGCTTTGCTGGCTTCCCCGGCCCAGGAGGTTCTGCAGCCAAGGGCACTGAGTACTGAGAACGAGGGCAGGCACCAGGATGAGGTCCTGCCTGCCTGTCGCCTGCCACTGGGAAGACTGTGCAGCAGGTCCTCAGGGAACAGGAGTCTCTATAAGAGACGACACCACGGGGCTTCTGGAGGCAGCGGCACTGGTTGCTTTAGAACCAGCAGCTCACTGAGAAGGACCTTCCATTTTTCTCATGTTTGTTGGACATATTCTTGAGATTCTCAGCTATTCAGGCAACCGTTTCTGTTTTTCAGACATGACACGTCCTTGGGGGAATGCAGTGGGGAGTGCTCAGGGGCTGCCGATGGACATGCTAGTGTAGCTCCTCAGGCGTCATGCGGGCCCCGCAGAGCCGGCCTCTGACGGCAGGACCAGGACCCTGCTGAACTATTTCCCTCTCTGCTGGCTCCATGACAGGCCAATCTTTCTTCAGGATTTCAACTCCAATCCCAAGAACGTGTGTTAATTAAGGCTGCAAACTTTAACCTGGGATGTACAGGGCTTCCTGCGGACTTGGGGGGGCAAGTAAAGAGTTAAGGAGCCAATTTCCAGATTCTCAACTTTTAAGTGTTTCTTTTCCTAAAGGTCTTCCCAGCACTGGGTTCCATTTCCCAGGTTCTCTCTCTCACACGTCTCCCATTTTATTATTTTTAAAAAATATATATTTTTATTGATTTCAGAGAGGAAGGGAGAGGGAAGAGAGAAACATCAATGATGAGAGAGAATTATTGATCAGCTGCCTTCTGCACACCCCCAACTGGGGACCGAGCCCGCAACCTGACCGGAATCGAACCATGACTTCCTGGTTCATAGGTCGATGCTCAACCACTGAGCCACACCGCTGGGCACACTTCTCCCATTTTACAGGAGAAAGACTCCCTCACTCTCCTGGATGTTAGCATCGTGCACTGGCTCTCGTGTGAGAAACCTTAGGGGCGCCCAAACGGGATAATTCCGGAATGGAGAGCTCTTGGGGGACAGTTCCTGAGAGCAAAGCCAAACAAACATGGCGCTGTCTGCGTTTATTTTATTCAGGCTTAAAATCTGGTTTCCAGAGCTTTCTCTCTGCCAACCCCTTACTCCACCCGTCTACTCCCGAGATGAAGTCCAGCCACGCGATGGCGGTCAGGGAAGAGTTTCCTACAGAGGCGAAGGCAGTGTGGCCGCCTGGGGTGAAGCCGGGCAGCATCTCCATGGATTAAATGAGTCCAAGCTGCAGCCTCGAGGTGTTGACAAAGGCATTTAAGGTACTTAAGTAACGATCAACACACAACACGGCAGAAATAACACCCGTGGCAAATACTTAAACTGGTGATGTGTGATGGATACAGCTGTAAACAATCATCTGACGGGCGTCTGAGCAGCAAAGTATGAGGAACCCTGCCTCCTAGCACTTGGGTTGCGGGTGAATTTCCCGCCAAAATATAAGATGGCGCGTTAAAATGCCTATATCTTTTGAGTATGGGTTCGATTGAAATGAAATATTTGGTAATACGCAGTTACAATCGGCCCGAGTTTACACGTTTCCCGCACTCCACCGCAAATCTATATGAACCGAGTTTAAGACGGCTCCCGCGGAGTACGCGCAATTCACGCGAGCCGACTTAACTCGTTTCCCCGCAACCCAACTCCTGGGTGAGCTGTTTGCCTATAGGTTCCTTTGGTCACCGCCAGAGGGTGCTGCTTCAGGCCGAAGTCCTCACTGAAATACTCACCTGGGTACTAATTACAGAATTAAAAAATGAAAACGCTGCTTATACGTGGTGTTTAGGGGAATCCTTTGGCGACTTGAACAGGAAGAGGGCTTGGGGAGAGAGAAGTCCTCCTGTCCCCCACCATGTGCAGTAGAAGGACCTATGCTCTGGGCTGGACAAGTCCCCAAATACCCCATCCTAAATTCCACTCTTCAGCCTCAGGTGCAGCACCTGGATCTCCCAGGCCTCGTGGGCCTTACAGCTGCCAACCACTCAGGAAGGTTCAAGGTGACGCAGACGGGATGAATGAGTAACAGCTGATGGACAACAGCTCCTCACATCTAAACAAAAGCTTTCTGGCATTTCCTGTCCTTTTCCTTTTAAATGGTGCCACCGTGAGAGCGCTGACTGGCTTGGACGGGCTGGTGATAGTTCGGGGCAGAAAAGCGAGTGTGTGTGTTTATTCCCCAAATTCTCCTCCTGGCGAGTCTGAGCCAGGGAGACACTGAATAGATGCTACTGAATCTGGGGTCAGGCACTAACTGTATCTAGGACAGCCGTGGGCAAACTACGGCCCGCGGGCCAGATACGGCCCGTTTGAAATGAATAAAACTAAAAAAAAAAAAAAAGACCGTACCCTTTTATGTAATGATGTTTACTTTGAATTTATATTAGTTCACACAAACACTCCATCCATGCTTTTGTTCCGGCCCTCCGGTCCAGTTTAAGAACCCATCGTGGCCCTCGAGTCAAAAAGTTTGCCCACCCCTGATCTAGGAGGTTAAGATCTCAGCTTTTCTTCTCAGGATGGAGGAAATACTTTTGTTATTGTTAATCCTGAGGATATTTATCCATTTTTAAAAAATATATTTTTATAGATTTCAGAGAGGAAGGAAGAAGGAGAGAGATAGAAACATCATCAATAATGAGAGAGAAGTATTGATCGGCTGCCTCCTGCATGCCCCACACTGGGTGGGGATCAAGCCTGCAACCCAGATATGTGTCCTGACTGGGAATCAAACCGGGATTTCCTGGTTCATTGGTTGATGCTCAACCAGAGCCACACCAGCCGGGCTTTCCATTGATTTTTAGAGAGAAAGAAAGGTAGGGGGAGAGACAGAGAGAGAAACATTGATATGAGAGAGAGACATTGATTGGTTGCCTCCTGCATGCACCTTGACCAGGGCCGGGGATTGAGCTTACAACCGAGGTACGTGCCCTTGACCGGAATCGAACCCGGAACCCTTCAGTCTGAGGGCCAATGTTCCATCCACCGAGCCAAACCAGCTGGGGCTGGAGGGAATACTTTTAATTAAGCAATGTGTGAGGGACACACACCTCGCCATGCCCTTTGAGACGTGGGAAGGTGTTTCACCATCGCCGAGCAAGGCTGGGAGGTTCTGCCCATAGAGCCCCACCCCAGGGCTTCTGGTGGGAGTGATGCCAGAACGTGGTCAGGGACTCCCCACACCAGGTGTCCATCCAGACCAGCAGACAAGGAACTGGGTGGCTCTTGTTTGTGATTTATTAACCAAATCAGAGGGAGAGCTGCTGTAAAGGCAGTGAGGTACTAATTACAGAATTAAAAAATGAAAACGCCGCTTATACAACGTGATGTCTAGCAGAACCCTCCCTTGGTGACTGGAGCAAAATCTGCAGTAACCCGGCCCTTGTCAGCTCTCACAGAACAAAACTGCCAGCAGCAGAGAGCAAGGCCATCTCCAGCGAGGTCGCCTGCCCGGGCCCTGAGTTACCTGGCACCAGGCTGTCACATTCCACCAGCACGTCGCTGGCCTGGGTCTTCAGGGGGGGCACGATGATGGTCCGGGGGTTCCCCGTGCAGTGGCTCTCCAGGCTCCCCTTGGTGTCGAAGGCATTGGTGTTGTGCCCGGTGCGGTGCTGCACGGAGTAGGGGCTGGTGTTGCTGGAGGAGTCGGAGTACGGAGAGTCGTGGACCGTGACACAGCTGATGACGTTTTTCCTCTGCTTGGAGACAGTGCTGGAAAGGGACAGGGCAAATCAGAACCGGGAGGTGAGACACCAGCCAGCAGTTCAGGCCGGCGGCCGTGTGAAGAGCCCCCCTTCGTGCCGGGGCAGGGGATGGGACTCCTGCTCCATGGCCCTCGCGGGGAGGTAGGGCACACGAGTGTCACCTGTCACATGAAGACCTCAGAGAGGGCCGGAGCTGGGCCCACAGGCGCTTCTGGAAGCTTGGAGTGAGAAGCTTCGAGTGGGCTTGGGCTCTCCCTGGTGCGGCAACACCCCTGAGCCACCAGAAAGGGACGTCTGAGCAAACAAAGCCCAGAACCCCAGGCCACCCAAGGCCCGTGTGGGAGAACGCCCCCGCCGGGAAGGGAGAGCACAGCGAGGCTCGGGGCCTGGAGAGGCAGTGAACTTAGGCAGGAGGGATGGGAACACCCAGGAGCAGCCAGGACGCAGAGATGGATGGGAGAAAGGGAGGTTCCGGGGGCTGATCCCACACACGGTTCAGACGTGCTGAGAAAGCCATCGGAGCTGACTTCACACCATCAGCAACCTCTCTGCTGGGAGGGTGCTGCGGGGATGGCTGTGGTGCCGCACCCAGGACCTCTGAGAGTCCCCTTCTCGGGGAGCCCGGCCCTCGGATCGGGGAGGGGACAGCACTGTGTCCAGGTGAGGTCAGAGGGGCTCCACCGGGGGGATGCCTAGTGGGGAGCTGCTCTGGACCCTGCTCTTCATCCTGAAACTCAACACGCCGACAGGAGGAACTGGCAATGGATGGCTCTCGGCCAGCACTTTTTCTGAGATATTTATGTTTGTGTGGTTACTCTGGGAACCAGTTCTTTCTGCCTCCAAACTCAGTGAGAGGCTGGTGGGATGATGCATATAAAATTTGTTGTTTATTGTGAAGATTTCAAAAATGGGTTTTCATCTATTTTTATATATTGATCATCTATTTTTGAGAAATATCCGTTGCCTAAGTAAGATGGTCAGTTTCCAACGGATTTGCTAAGAGAAGCTGGTATTTATAGAGGCCTGATGGGGACAGACAATCACGGACGTCTTGGCCAAGGTCACAGGCCAGCCACAGGCCAGCCCCTTTCCAAGGTCGCTCTCTGCCTCCTAAGGGCAGCAGAGAAGTGGGCCAACTCAGGAGCCCCAGGCAGCCCGGCAGAAGGGAGGGGCTGGGCAGTGACTGCGTGTGACCTGAGTGGCCCCTGCTCTGGACACTATGACTCTGGGCCCGATAATTCCTCTAGGGGCTGCACACTGTCCTGGTTCAGGGAAGCAGGACCCCTTCCCAGCTGTGTCGGGGTGAGAACAGGGCCCTGCAGCCAGATGTCTAACACCAGCACTTGTTGGGGGGGGTGGGGGTGGGGGTGTGTGGAGGTGTGGCCTCAGGCAGCTTTTCAACCTCTGAGTGCTTTAGTCTCCTTATCAGTAAAATGTGGCTAACTAATAACAGTAGCTATATTATAGGCTTATTTGGAGAATTAAGTGAGGAAATACAAGGAAAATGCTTCAAATAGTACACGACACAAAGCAGGTATTCTATAAAAGTTAGCTGCTATTATTATTAGTTGTGTTACCTCATTTAACATGTGAAAACAGGTTTGCAAAAAACATATCTAGGCACAGTGAATTCTACCAAGGTGCAGACTTGCTGGATATGAAGGAAATTAAAACTCATCAGTTAGGTATCTAGAAGGTCTATGCTAGGTGCTACAGGGAATTCCTGTACACAAACATACAAGAGATTAAAATAGTGTGGGACAGTACAAAAGCATGGCAAAGTAAAGGGTAAAAGTTTTAAAGTAACCAGTTGGAGAGCAGAGTGGATGTCACAGAGCCTCCCATCATGAACTATCAAATGGGTTGTACCGATGATAACCATCAAGAACTCAAAAGAAGGTGAGGAATGAACATGCAATTATAGCTCTTCACATTAATTTTGATAAAATAGATACATTTTAATTAATAAAGATCTACCCCTCCCACTTCTAACAGTTTAAATGCAAAAAATCCATATGCTTGTTCCTCAAAAAATTAAAGAGTGACCATGTGACCAGCAATTCCACTCTCAGGCACGTACACAAAGGAACTCAAACAGATACTTGAATGCCAATGTTCATAGTAGCATTATTCCTAATGGCTGAGAGGAGAAAATATATAATCTAAAGGTGAAAATAACCCGTGCCCATCAAAAGATGAGTAAACAAAATGTGGTATGTAATGGAATACTGTTCAGCCATAAAAGTGAATAAAGTTCTGATACATGCTACAGTATGGATTAACCTTGAAATATTGTGCTAAGTGGAATGAGCCAGACATAGAAGGACAGATGCTGTATTATTCCACTTACATGAGTACCTAGAATAAGCAAATTCATAGACAATAGAGGTGACCAGGGGCTGGGGGAGGGAGGAACAGGAGTTACCGCTTAATGGGTACAGAGTCTGCCTGGGGTCATGGAAAAGTTCTGGAAATAGACAGTGGTTGTGGCTGCACACACTGTGAACGTATTTAATGTCACTGAAGTGTGTGCTTAAACATAAACGGCAATTTTTTTTATCACAATTAAAAAAATTAATGTAAAATTCCAAAACCACTGAATTATATACTTTAAGTGAGTGATTTGTATGGTATGCGAATTATATCTCCATTTTTTTTTCAGGGTCCACATTTCACATTTTATTGCACTTATTCCACAATCACTGAATCCTGCTGGGCTGTGCCCAGGGCTCTGGAGCCAGGACCTGGAAGGTGAAGCTACGCAGGCAAGCCATTCCCGCGGAGGGGCTGCCCCAGGGACCCCGTGAGGATGACCTAGTGGCCATGGTTGGGAGACCCGTCGAGGACTGAACCGCACCCAGCGCCCACTTTGGTGGCCCTCATGTCTCCACACCGCCTTCCGGATGCTGCCCCCAAACAGGGTATATCTCCATTTTTAAAAAGTCTACATGCTTATTCAGAAACAAAAAGGGGTGGGTGTGGCACTGAGATCTGGCCCAAGAACCAGAAAGTGGGGCAGCAGGAAAGACCCCCGAACCTCTGAAGTCGGGAGCAGGAGTCACGAGCAGCGGGCATCGTGGGAGCTGTGGCATCAGGAGGAGGGAGCCCGGGAGGAGGGCGAGCTGCTTCAAAGAGACCAAGACCAGGGAGACCTGTAGTGGTTTCCTGTGGTGGGTGGGGCTGGGCAAAGGGAAACCCACCAGTCTGTGGGGTGTCTGTTGTGTAGAAATATGCTATTAAAGGGAACCCCACCCCACCCCGCACCGAATCACGGTGCTCCCAGCTCCTGGGGGATGCTGGGAGGCGGCGCTGCCCTGCCTTTGCTCTCAGCTCCATCAGAGCCAGTTCTGCGTGATTAAAGCGAACACAACGCAGACGGGTTCTGCTGAAAGTGTGTCTGGGGTGGTGGCCCCACATGAAGACAGGGCTGGCTCCCAGCTGCTGCCCACTGACTGGTGTGACCTTGGACAGTGGCCTGGATGTTGGTGTGACCTTGGACATATTTCAAAGTCTTCACTCAAATTTGGAAATTGTGGAGAAGTTTCAGCTCAATATGAGTAAGAATTTTCTGACAACTGAACTGTCTGAACATACACTTCATGCATCAGTGAGCGTGCTGTCACTTGGGATGGCGTTCTGCAAGTCTAGAATACCTGACAGCTTGGTCCAGGTGACCTGTGAGAAGCTAGGGCCATGTCCTCGTGGAAACCCAACAGGTGTGAGCCTTCCCACCAGAGAGGCTGAAGAATCTGGCTGTCCGTGTCTCCATGCCTATCCAGGAGTGTGGGATAAAGCCTCTCTAAGCTTCATGGGAGCTGGGAGGCCCCTCCGCCTAATGAGCAAATAAGTGCAACACAGTCTAAGGGTAATTCCTTACCTTCCTGGATCTACATGAGACAGGTTTGGAAGAGGTGAATTAATTTGATACTTTTTCATTTTATTTTTTGTTAGTCCCCACTTGAGGATATTTTTTTCATTGCTTCTCAGAGAGAGTGAAAGGAAGGGAGGGGAAGAAAGAGAGAGAGAGACATTGATGTGAGACAGACACATCAACTGGTTGCCTCCAGCATTCGCCCCAAATGGAGGGTGGGGGTAAGGAGTGAACCCACAACCCAGGTATGTGCCCTTGACCGGGAATCGAACCTACAACCCTTTGGTGCACAGCTGTAGCTCTAACCACTTAGCAACACCAGTCAGTCCTGATAGCTGTTTTTAATCTCTCCTATTGTTAGAAATATCTGTGCTCTACCTGATTATACTATGCAGATTAGAGAACAAATGGGAAGCTACTAAATGAGTCATCTTAAAAATGAGCATGCATTATTACTATGGATTCTTTAGGTGCGTATGCACTGATTCTACTGGGATTCATTCTAGTATAGTGTCTAATTATTACTGATCGCTAATCAATCCCATTATGAATTGGTTAATGGAAGAGAGAGAGAGGGAGAGAGGGAGGGAGGGAGACAGAGTAGAATGAAAAATATTTGCTTAATGGCCTTAATAGAACATCATTTCTGAATAAAAGAACAAAGCCACCAGAGTTCACAATTGCATTGTGTTGTCATGGCAATAGATGATTTTCATCATTTTAAAATGATGAAAAGAAATAAGGAGATAAGCAGTAAAGAAACCAGCCCCAGTGGAGAAAACACTGCGGCAAGGTCAGATACAAACCTGTGCCCCTGCCTGCAGGGCCCTGCCTGGAATGCGTTCCTGATTTCTATTTGCCAGTCCCGGTCAATTCCATCCTTCAAGACCAGGGTCAAAACTCATCTCCACCAATAAACCTTCCATGACTACTTCACTCCTCTGACTCCACAGTCAATGCTACATGTGAAAAACACTCCTCTTCTATCACGATGACACTGATTACACAGTCCAGGTAACATTTACTGGGGGCACAACTGCTGTTCAAAGTGCTTTCCATGTGTTGTCTCCTCTAACGCTCACAGCGAGAAAGAATATTCCAACTCTAGTTTTAAGAACCACGAACTTCAGATGTGGAGAGCTTAGGTCACTTGCTTGTTCAAGGTCACACGGCTAGTTAGGGACAGAGTCAGATTTGAACCAAGAGCCAGCATTCTCTCTGTTTTTTGGTGACAGAGCATGGTCTTAACTTTATTTATTTTTTAAGTTTTATTGTGATAAGGATATTTAACACAAGACCTACCCTCTTAATAAAATTTAAGTATTGGTGACTATCGTGCAATGTTGTGCAGACCTCTAGACTGGATTCATCTTGCTCAGATACAACTTATGCCCATTGATTACCAAGTCCCCATTTCCCTACCGACAGCCCCTGGCCACCAAGAATCGACTCCTTGATTCTATGAATTTGACTATTTTTATGTGTCCAGAGTCTGTGTCAACTCAAATCTCATTCTTCAGAAATGACATTCTAGTCTCGTCAATAGTCAGGGTTTTAAATGGCGTCTGCTTTTCCCCAGTTGTGGCGAAGGGCTGGGTGAGGCTGTTGGGCCCGTCTTGTGCCGAAGGCTATAAATGTGTGGCCAGGCTGCTCCAGGCCGGGGGCCAGGCTGGGGCCGGGAAGAGCCTTTCTCTTTGTAAAGGAACCACCTGAGCTCCTCAAGCTGGGGGCTGAGGGGCATGAGGCACTGGGGAGAACGGAGTACTGACTCAACTCGGGGCTCTATCAGAAAGGAAACTGAGGCCAGTCCTGGAGTAGGCAGGTGGGGAGTGAAGCACTGTGCCTGGCATCCCTGACACCAAGGCCCCTCTGGCCCCTGGGGTGATGCTAGGACCGGAAGTGCTCCGTTACATTCCTTGAGACACACTGAACAGCAGGCTGAGCCATTAAACAGAAAAGAGGACACTCAGACATACACCAGCCCTCCCATGAAACAGCAAAGCACTGAGAACTATAGCGAGAATGCGTCAATCACCCTATCTGTACATTTCACAATGATCTCAAGTGTGGGAATTTATTATCTGATCAAAAGGATTTGTGATGACTAATTAGTGGCATTATGTCCAATCAGAAATTAATAATTCAGGCCTATATGTGGATGTTAAGCTTCGTATCCAGCTGTGGGATGCGTGCTGACTGGCAGTGCTGGGCTTGGGAGCAGGCCTCCCTTCCCTGGCCCTCAGTCCTCATGTGAGGAGCCAGCAGGTTGGGGTCATGAAGCTTGGGATCTATATGATCCTGAGGCCAGTGGGGTGCAGAGAGCCAGGGGACCGACTGTGCCAGAGGGGCAGGAAAAGAGGCTCTGGCGCCAGGGCTAATAGTCGTGCAAGTACTGTATTAAATATTTCTTCCCTCTTCCTGGGAGCGCATGGAGAGTGAAATGAGTTCTCACTACTTGGAATAAACAGCAATGCTCCCTGGGTAAGAGCCAACTGGCAGTTTGAAAGATTGGGTTAATCAGACACAGGGAAATTTCTGATTAATTGGACAATTATTTCGAATTCTGAGAGAGCCAAGGCGATATTGGAGAAATATTTTGACCAACGGGGAATAAATTCAATAGCCTGAGGCAGACAGAGCTTTGTAAGCTTACAGGGGTTGAAATACACTGGCATCCTGTGTCTGGTTTTTATGGTCTCAAGTCTCCCAAATGAATAGGGCCCATAACTATTTTTTAATTCCCAAGGGATTCCAAATTATTTTGGCTTTAAACAGTTATGGAAAGTCTGTTAGACAGTCCCCTGAAATCACGTCAGGACTCTAGGGCGGGGCGAAACCACAATTTGGGGGCCAGGAGAGAGGGACCTTCATGTTTGATGATGGAAAGTGGCCCCGACGAGCTGTCCTGGTCCTTTCTGGGAGTCTGAAGGTGACGCGTCTCACCTGGTGGGAGCGTGCTTCTGTTCCTCCTCCTCGTCCGTGTCGCTGCTGATGGTGATGACGCTGACCGTGGGGCTGGGGGTGTCTGGAATGACAATGGTCTGCCGCTGCCTCTCCCTGGTGGTGCTGGAGGCGCCGTCGCCCCAGCCGCATGTGACAGAGGAGCTGCAGGCCGGGCTGCTGTGCACCAGGGCGCAGCGGGGCGGCGTGTTCTCCTTGACGCGCTTGGACCGCTGAGGGGAGCTGAGGGCCTGAGAGGAGGACACCTCACAGGTGGAGACGTTTCTGTAACGACAAAGCCACACACACTCAGGGAGGAAGGTCAGCCCAGAGCATCTTCCTAGGAGCAAACTGCCTAGAAGTCCCAGCTTTGCCAGATCTCCATAGAAAAGTCAGAGGCCAGGGCACTCGGACTTCACCTGTCACTGCAGAAGCGGCAGCCGCTACACAGAGGGGACAGCAGCCTGCTTCCTCGGGGCTCTGGTTTGGCTCCATGTGCCCGCTCCCAGCAGGACAAAGGGAACAGCCAGGGCTGAGGACAGGAGGGATTGTGCCCACGGACTGGGCTGGTCTGTGGAGTCACATGTAATGCCCAGCATTTAAGGGGTGTCTGCCCCAACACAGCCCTGTCTTCAGGGTCCAGGCCTGACTTCCCGACCTCCATCCTGTCATCCTCCCAAATGTACTTGGTCTTATTTGGGAGAGAGGTGGAAGAAATTTGACACATAAAGCTTTGGTTTCCTCACTGATAGCTGGTTTACCATTTAATAAACTAAAGCACTGATTTCTTAGGAGTTTCTGGATCTAATGGATCGAATATTGGCGGTTAGCTCTCCCTCCTGCTTTCTCTGGGAAAGGGACATGACCATGACAGCATCCGTGTGTTAATGTTTTTAAATGAATTTTTTTTTTAGATAGAGGGTGAGAGAGATCAATGTTCTACATCTTTATGGGTTCATTGGTTGATTCTTATATGTGCCCTGTAACCTAGGTGTATTGGGATGACGCTCTAACCAAGTGAGCTAGCCAGCCAGGGCCTATAATTCTCATTTTCAAAAAAGATTCTTCTGGATTTAGACACTGAATCTCATAGGAAGCTTACCAGTCAGTTTCAACTGTAATGAAAAATTCAGAAACGTGCAAGAGGAAAAGGTGTGCTTAAAAAGGGACCTTTTAATATTGATTTTGATTTACCTGAAATTCCTTATCAAATTAGCCAATGTAGCTCTATCTGGTTTGGCTCAGTGGATGGAGCATTGGCCTGACTGAAGGATCCGGGGTTTGATTCCAGTCAAGGGCAAATACCTCAGCTGCAGGCTCAATCCCCACCCCTGGTCAGGGCATGTGAGGGAGGCAACCAATTAATATGTCTCTCTCACATTGATGTTTCTCTCTCTGTCTCCCTGTTCACTATCTCTAGAAAAAAGACACACAAAACAATGGAAAAATATCCTCAGGTGAGGGTTAACAACAACAAAAAACTAGCCAATGTAGTTAACTTTAGGGAAAAATTCCCTTACTTTCCCCTTCTTCTCCTTGAGACAAAGCCAACCTATAATGAAACTGAAGACTCTGATACGTCCTTAGAGATTCTAGCACCTTCTAGCTAACGGGGTGGCCGTAAGATGAGAATTCTGTAAAGGTAGATCTATTTAACTTTCTATTTAGTTGGTATCAGATATGATGCTTGCTCCTTTTGAGGGGCTGGTAATAATATGTTTTACTGATAAGATGGTTCTATTCTTTGTACTTGCCATACTACTTGTTATTGGCAATGTTACAATTTTGAGATTACGTTTCACTACGTCAGTGGTTGAAATACCTCCAGAGGGCATTATTAAAGAAAAGTATGCCTCGCTGCACCACCCAACAAGGGAGGGCATCCTGGTCTTTCAGGCTGTTCTGCCAAAGGAGTGGTCTTTAAAAATAGGCAAATACATAACTTTCACTATAATTATATTGCTCTTGAAATGCAGAAGCAATGAGTCTCATAACACCAGCTGCGTGGGGAGCAGGCAGCAGGGAAGGACTTGTGAAGTTTGGGAAGCAAAGGGTTCTTCCGTCAGTGATGTTCAGGTCAGCTCTGGGTCAGACCAGATTTCTGTGTGCTGGCCCATGGCTGGGCATGCAGCGTGAGGACTGAGATGGTGGCCGTTTCTACCGCCTGATCTAATAACGACAGGGTTTGTCACAGGGCTGCCAGATCCAAGTATTCTGGATGGCTGCCACTGATCTGAGGTGAATCTCCCTGAGTTGTCAGCAACAACCAAGTAAGAAATCTTGAAAGGTGACAATGTGAGGGAGTGAGCTCTTGGATTAATTTCTGAATGGGAACGTAAAAGGCAGGGCTACTTCCTGGCGCCTGGCTATATGAGGACGTAGGAAGCCAAACTTTCTAGCCATTTTATACACTGGACCTCTCTTGATTAACCCGTCCCAAATAAGCAACTGGGTACCTGGACCTCAGTGCCACCAGGGAGAAATGCAGGGTAATTCTGCAGCGGCACAATCTTGATTTCGATCTTGTTTGGAAAACTCTTATTTTGTTATTTTCACCCCCTAAAAGTCCCCTCATGATCCTTCCCTGTCAACCCCTCCTCTCCTCCCCTCGTCCCCGGCAACTCCCGAGCTGATCTCGTCTCCACAGTTTCGCCTTTTCCAAAGGCCATATACAGGGTGTCCGCCCCAAAATGTATGTACACTCCAACAGCTGACAGCTGCAATGTTTTTAATAAACACTGCCCTTATAATTAAAGTGTGTGTACACACTTTTTTGGGGGGTGGGGGGCACCATGTATACAGAATCACAGCGCATGGCCTTTTGCCAGCCTTGACTTTAGAGTCCCCGGGATGAGACTGGGTTTACAGGGAGCGGGCAAGATGGCTGTTCTGGCTAATTCTAGGATTAATCAAGTTACTGCTTACCCTGAACAGCTAAATAACTTAAATTTCTGACCTTAGATTTCCAGGAAAAAATAAAAAGCACATTTTAAAGAAAAGTTATGGTTTCCAAAGTGCAAGTTCAGAGGCGAGCCTGAGCGTTTTCCAGAGAAGTGAAGGGGACGGAATGGCTCAGGGCCCGGGCACTCAGCCCTGAGCCCGGCCCGCGGGGGGTGCCGCGCGGGGGGTGCTGGGAGGGCCGACCCCGCGCAGACCAGACCCGAGAGCGCGCCTCCCTCCCAGCGCCGCGCCAGCCACGCGGTCGCCGTGTCCCCACCACTCCCGGCGCCAGGCGGGGCCGGAGCACCAGCGATGCCCCGACG